GGTGGTGACAGAAGAGGGACGGGCATGAGGGACACACAGACACGGCACAGAGCCTTGCTGCCTCTCCTGCTTGGGACCAACTCTTCCCTGCCAGCGTGACCCACAGCAGCGCTCCAGAAACACGTGACATGCGCACTGCTGCATCCTTCACTGTCACGTGCCGCTGGAAGAAAGGCAAGACTAGCTTTACTTTGACTACATTAAGTGAGGAGGCTGCTCAAGGGAACACCGGGATTGCTTGCTTTGCTTGTCCACACAATGATTTCTCTACAGCTTCATGTCCAAACAGTTGGTACGGCCACCTGGAAGGCTCGCTGTCAGCCCCCATCTCCTTGCCTGCATATCCTAGGAAGAAAGGGTTTTGGAAACTCCCAAATGCAAGACGGAAACACACCCTGGGACTGAGAGTTCAGCCCCTCTTTAACTACTGCTCTCGCAATTCTTGTGGTTTCCGACTCCCGCTGGAAAGAAAGCACTGCAGAACACGTTGATTCAGCTGGGCCTGCACTGATGTAGCTGGTGCAGCCACCAGCTCAGCCACTGCTTGTGAAACACCAGAGAGGGCTGTTGGGCAAGGAGACAAGGAAGTGGAGGTGTCCCGCGCTACCGTTTGCTGCAATGCCTCTTCACCTAGTGTAGACAAGGCTTCAAGATAACACTCTGGAGCAAATTTGATCTCATTTACAATTTTCTTTCAGTCCTTTCACTGGGAAGGGTTTTCTCAGTTCACCAGCAGGCATATGGGAATAGTGGGTACTGGCTCCACTCTGCCATGGTCCCGTGGGCATGTCCCGAAGCCCCTTGCGCGTTATAATCCGTGGAGAAGGCAGAGTAGCTCATTGCCCGGTCCTGGCTGTGGGAAGCCCCCATCCACTGGCCGAGGCCTTGCTCGGCGCCGTATGGGCTGTACATGGGCGCTCGGGCCCCAGCTTTCCCGACAGAGTCTATAGCCATGTTTACCACGCCGGCATAGTCCTGGGGAGGCGGCAGAGGCGGGGGGAGCGGAGGCAGGTTGGTGAAGCCCTCCGAGGGCTGTTTGGAGTCGTGCTCAGGCACTGTGGCAAGATCCAAGGGATGGCACCTTGTCCGGAAGTCATTCAGCGCAGCAGCGTCACGGGCGGGCAGCTGCTGGCCGTCCCCGGCTTCGTGGAAGCTGAGCCCCAAGGGCAGAGAGAAGAGCGAGTCAAACCTACCGCCGCAGGAAACCACCACAACCGCCCACACAGGTCCCCGGGAAAAGGCAGGGGCAGGCCCTAAGCAACGCCCTCTTCCCCTTGCCGTTTCAGACGTCCACCATCCATGCACAGCAAGCTTGCTTACAGGGATAATCTGTCTCTGCACCCGACTCCCTTTTCCTTGCGTGTGCCCAGCATCCAGAAATCAGTATGCCGTGAGCTGGCGTGTGCCTTTACGGTGCATTTACGCATGCTGCATATGGGAGGGGAGGGCAGGGGTGTCCGTGCAGGGTTGTTCTGTGCCTCCGCATCTTGGCGCGCTGCACAGGAACCCTCCTGCGCAGAGACAGCCTTGCCTGCTGCTTCGCTTTACTGTTAGCCTGGATTTCAGTCCAAGCCCTGCTGTCACCCACACAGAAAAGCTAAGTGCCAGAGAAGGTAAGCCCAGGCACCGCTACCAAGACACAAGAACGCCCAGAAACAGTGGATTTAAAGTTAAAAAGAAGTAAACCCCACTGGCTCTTTTTCTTCAGAAATACCCAGCAGAAGATGAGGAATCCCGTTAATTACAGGCTGGCTTTGGACATAAGCCCCAGGGAGGTGGGACTCACCGGTATGCCTGGTAGGACGGCGTAGGCACCTGCTGCTCTCTGGCCGGACCCTCCCGCTGGTCGGCCGGCGCGGGCGATGCTGCGGGAAAGGCATGGCTGCCGCTCTGCTCCGCCACCCAGAAGGGGTATCCGCTGCTGACCACGACGGGGTTACTCTCTTCCTTGACATCCACATTCTCATCTTTCCCAAAGTCTGACTCACAGCGGGGGAAAAGAGAGAACGGAACAAAATGAGGGGGGGGTGGGGGGAACAAGAGAGCCCAGAGCTCACGGCAGTCTGTTGGCAGCTGGATTGGGCCAGGATGGGGTGTGGGGGGAAAATCGCACTAACACCGCTTCTGCAGCCCGGTCACCACAAGGGATTAGCCCTTAGCTGGCTCCTTCTGCCCTTAACTGTGCCGTTCAGTCCTGCCGCTACCTTGTTTGTGCAAGCGGCATTGTGAGCTGCAGCGAGGAATGATCAGGCTTAAAAATAACCTGATAGAAGCAGTAAAGTTTATTTTTAAATGCTAATAACTCCCCAGGCTGCATCACAAGCCAGATGCACAAGCAGCAGCGCTGGCACAACTGCACGGACGAGAACCGAGACAGAAGGGAAGAAGAAAGCGATGGGCGGCTGAGGGTTACACTGCAAGCTGCTGTAGCTAGCGAAGACAAAACGTCATGAAAGCACAGCCTGCGACCGCGCGCGTTCCCAGAGCATCGCTAGTCCGGGAGGCTGGCGCAGGGAAGAGCTGAGGAGCCGTCAGCAACGGCAGGTCACTTGCAAGCAGGCTCCTGCGGGTCGCTCACAGAAACCAAGCGGCAGAGACCCCCTAGCTTCGTCCTCATTCTGACACAGGCAAAACGAGCGCTCGGGCTCCTCGCCCCAGGTCCCCAGCCCACCGCTCTGCCTAGCTGAGCGCTCTCCGGGGGCAGGGCTTCCCCGAAGCGCTGCCTTCGCCTGCTCCGCAGAAAGGCATCCCCTGCCTGCTAGAAACATAATGTCAGAAAACGCAGTGTGCAAAAGCAGGCTGAGAACCCAGCTGTGGCCAGGCTGCACCACTCCCCTCCCACCCGCGTACAGCAAAACACCGGTCCTGTTTGACAGGAGACACAGCAGAGCCATGCCACTGCCTCTTCCTTCCCGTGGCCTGGCCAGAGCAGGGAACTGACTCTCCGGGTTTGTTGTTACCAATATCACCACGTTCCTCAGCACCGGACTCCTTTTCCTCAGGCAGCTTCCTCTTCTGGCTTTTGGCTGGACTGGGTTTCTGGCACTTGGCTCGTCCTTCCCTGGGAAAGGAACAATACAGGCAGGTAGTTTTCTGCGAGTTGCGCCTGCCTTAGCGAAGCAGCCCGAGGGGCCACAGGGAATATGTTTGCCGCAGCCGAATTCCAGAGTTAGCCAGGCTGCCTGCCACGAGCACGGGCTCCCAGCGGAGCGGCTCCCTGACCCCCAGGGTACTGGCGGTAAACCAGTGAAGGGGTTGCTTGCTTCGTGTGTGCACAAAAGGCACAACCAAAATGGAAACCTCAGCACTGGAGGTCTTGGCACCGTTTGGCATCGTGTGAGCGTGGTCCAATGCTGGATACACATAACACACGCATGCATACAAGGCACGTGTAGAATATGGTGGGTTTTTTTGCTTGAAAGTATTTTCCTTGAACGGAAAATAAATCTAAGCTTAACCAGAAATAGTCCTATTAGGCGGACAAAGAAAATCCCTGACATTTTCAAAGTCTGTTTAAATTAAAAAAAAAAAAATCAGTTTTGGCCGTTTTCATCAGGAAATAAAGATTTTTCTCAAGCATAAAATAACACAAAACAAAATGTTTTTTTCAATATTTTTTCATAACATTTTCTGCTAGGGAAAAAAAGGCGACATTTTTTCTCATCTCATTGTTGCCAATTGATGGCTGCATTTCAGCTTGTTTTCATCTCACCCACTGGCTGCCCTCAGACTAGACAGAAGACCTCACTGGTAGTGGTATCCAACTTTCCTCTTGCAGATAAAATTTCCTGTTAGAAGAGATGCTTTTCCACTCAAGAGGAGAGAACCTCTGAATGTCAGAATCAAGTTAATCTCAAAGACACGCAGTGATCTACTGTGGACTCCCTTTATCGCAGCTATTCAGACGTCAGGCGCCAGTCTAGATCCAAACTGCAAGGGAATGCAGGTCTCTTATTTGTCATATCTCCCACATTTCTGTAGGAAATCCTGTATCTCCCCCTATTCCCCCAGTCTTTTGGGAGGCAGCTGCACAATGGGACGTCATCATTCCCAGACACAGATGAACGCAACCTGCCAGACACGGCTGGCTCTGCAGAGCTAGCGCTGGTATATTTTTGCTCAATGGACTTGGGCAAAATTCATGAGTGAACGTGGGTTAGAAATAAATTGAGACGAGACACAGTTTACCTTCGGGTGTTCTTTCCATGCTCCCGGAAGCCTTTAGCAAATGGATTGTTGTCAATCTTCAGTTTTGTGATCTTAAAATAAAGGAATAAGATTCAGTGTCATAGTGAGTGGTTGGCTTCTTTACTGCTTCAAGACCTTCAGCTCAGTATTTATCGCAACAGCTTGACTGGGGGTTTTGGGGTGCCCTTGTCACAGTATCTGAGCTCTTACAACAGTTCCCTCTATTGATTAGGAACAGATACAGAGAGCAGTGACTTTCTCAGGGACTTCCTCAGGGTAGGATTCATCTGACCAGAGAAATACACAAGGTCAGTACCTACATCTGGACTTTTTACTATTTCTGGGGTCCTTTTAATCACTGAGATGCACCCAATACAGTTAATGGGCATGATTCATCTCATTCTAAAGTGGTGGATGTCTCTTAAGTACTTCCGTAAGTAAGTTCATGTGCCTATTTCTTTCCCCTGTCACAGGAGCCCATGGTAACTAGCTCCGAAGGAGACACCTGCTTTTACAAGATTCCTAAGGACAGACTATTTAGCAACATGTCAAGGGGTGGCGCTTGCACACTGTACCTTCTCGTTCTGGTAAGCAGTGACAGACGTGAAGACAGTCTCCGGGAAGCTGAAGACTTGGAAGATGCTCCAGCGGACGCTGAAGAGGTCATCTGCCTGCACAATGTGGAAGCGAGGCTTGTAACGGTGCATGGAGTGGAGGATGATCTGGCGCAGAGACAGACAAAGGAGAAGGTTTCCACATGCAACCACTGCTAACGCGCTGCGCAGCGTCCTGTGGAGACTCCCAGGACTCCCGCTTCAAATCAGGGATGCCCTCCTGGGCCTGGCAGCTCCACCATACCCCGAGAGCGACACTACAAACGTCTTCCCTAGCAGGAGGTTAAGAGGGTACAAGGGATGGAGTAAGGAAGGAAGAGGGGGCCACTCGGATGTGTTTTACTTTCCGTATCATCCAATTTCTCACAAATCTAACTTGTTTCTCTGCAACGGATCCCAGCGTGCGCAGCATCAAGGCCAGCTACAACCTACATGCCCATGTTGGTCCAGAGTGTTGTTGGTGAGCTTCAGCTTTTGGAAGGAGACAGGTTCTTTCATCCAATGGCTGCCAGGAGCTGGGGAATCTGGGTGGACGTAGGTGCGACAAGGGAGCTGGGGCTCTGCTTTTCCAGCAACTTCCCATTGATCTTTATTCCACTGTGGAGGGAAAGAAGGAAATCTAGAGCTTGAAAGACCTTCCCTCATTATAGGGAAGCCTCAGCAACTTTGTTTCACTGTCTGATTTTGTGGACTTCCCCGAGGCAGACAATCCTGACAGGTAGCTGATTCCCTCTTATGAGTCATGATCCTGTTACTGAAACAGCTCCAAGTTTAGGCCTTATTTTACCTCTCTTTCTCTGAATGCTGTCAGAGAAGTCTGATATTAATCATGATCAAAACTGTACTGTTTACAATGAAAAGCAGGTATCTTTCCAGCTGCCACCCATGCAAAAGTGGCAAATACTAGAGAACTCCGGGTAGGCAGAAAATCCACCCAGGACTTCGGAACTTTGTCCAGAGAGGCAGAAAACCACTTCTGAACTTGGTCTGAAGATAATTGATCTTTCAGCCTGGCCAGTGAAGCATAAAGATTACTTTACTTTAAACAAAGGGGATACATGAGAGTCCCACGTGGTCCTGTAATAGGTGCTTGTTCTGTCTCTTTTTTCACATGGCAAACTTCCCATGGGAAGTGGGAAAGATGGAAGCACAACTTTTATTATTTGAAGTACTTACCTTGTACCTGAAGTTGTCCATTGGCACAAAATCTACCAGCATGAGATACTTGGCATATGGGATTAAGCCAGAGACTTTGATTTTGCATTGTGGAAACATTCGTCTGAAGGAGAGATTATATGCACAGCGTAAGGATTTTTGTATAAAGCCTCTTTTGCTTAATGACCTAATCAAGCATCAGGCTACGTCTACTCGTTATTGTGCAAAGTGCTGGCGGCAGTATTTCAGCAGATCAGCTCCTGGACATTTTTACCATCTTGTTAATGTATTGATTATCTAATCCTGTGGGCCTAGATGGAACAGGCATTAACAGAGCAGCAGTCACTGATGACCTGATACTGTTACTGCTTTTGTTCTTCTGATTTCTGTAACGCAACAGTAGGAAACTCAAATAAAATATTTAAAATTCAGACATAGTTCTTAGCTTTCTGCAGCTATCAGGGACCTGGAGCACAGATGAGAGCATTTTCTGGTGTGGATAGCACTCATCTGAAGGCGTATCTAGCTTTCTGTTCCAGTACTTCCTACTACCTCTTTTATCTTCTGACACTGCAAAAAGCCTTTGACACCTACTTCCCTATTCAAAGCAGAGATTATTTCAGCTCACTGCAGTTTTGACACAATACATTAAAATTCCATACTCTTTCATTACAAGCTCCACAATACGTGACTAAGATTTACATTTTTCCAATAGCTTGCGTGCACAGATCCTTACTCTTCTAGGCCACGTTCTTGTCTGCAAATGCAGAATCAAAGCCAGATATTTAGTGCTCATCTGCTTCTGCCAATGACTGTTTGAGGCAAAGCAAGTCTAGGACACTTTCCAGAACAACCTCACAGCAACAGGAAGAACATCAATGCAAGTGCTGAGATCAGAGCCGAGTAGTTTTTCAACACATCAGCCCCTCAGTGACCTTTCACACTTCACAGTTTGGGACTTCTAGGACATCCTGAAAGAGCAATTCTTCGTAATAGGCTAAAAAAGCTAGTTTAAGAGCCATCATTCAAAATTGAACACTTGGACAGTTTTGAAAACAGCGTGGAGGGGTGCGGTGTAGACAACTATGCTGCTTCTCTCACCTGCCGGATTTGGTGATGATCATCTCAGTTCCTATCTGATGAAACTTCATCCAGAGACCCATGTCCTCGAGGGTGACCACGATGGAGCTCTGCGGGTAGGGCTCCAGGCTGGGGGAAGGAAGTGCATCACACGGCACTTTCACGTCTACCAGGAGAGAGCGAAAACAGTAACAGGACAGACATGAGGGAAGCCAGCACGAAGCAGCCTCATCGTGCTCAGAGAAAGAGCTCTGAGAAGCAGCACCCACATCAGCCCACCCAGCACCAGGGCCTGGAAACGGGGAGCTACCTAATTTCACATGCTGTTGTAACCAAGTGGCTCCATACATCTGCTTATTCACACCTCCTCCTGTCTGGTCACAGTATTTCTCAGCCCGAAACTCCTGCAGAGTGCTCGGGACTGGTTTAGTTCAGGCAGTTGAATGCTGTGACTTTTATCAATGACGGTCGCAGGTGCTACCAAGGACTGGGGAGTCCATGCCGCAAGAAACCTCTGAAAGAAAACTGAGCATCTGCCTGCAAAAGTTTTCTTACTAGGCTCAGTAGGCAGAAAGGCTCTTCCAACAGGTTTGTTTTTAGCCGGTTAAGTTCTTTTGTAAAGATTTATCTGTTGTACAAATTCAGCGTGACTTCCTTTATTCCAAAGCTCAGACTGGTAGCCACAATCCACGTTTATTCTTGTTCTGATACGATCGGGGTTACACAAACCACTTCACCAAGAGCATGAAATAAAAGCTGAGAGGACTGGGCAGATTTTAAGTGAACCAGTGGGCAAGGGGAGCAAATGGCAGACAGATGGTAGCAGAGACAAAAAAACACTCCAGAGGACCAGGAAGGGACAGACAAGAGACCCAAATGTAAATGGGGATAAGAGAGGGAGGTGACAGAGCCAGACCAGAGGGACTATTCTGAGAGCAGCAGGGCTGGTCTGAGCTGGACCTGGAGACGGAGCGTGCCGAGACGCCCGTGGCGGTGGTGAAGGGGGCTCTCCTCAGGGACACTACTGTGGCATGTCAGGGGAGCCATCTGCAATGCAACTGCCTTTTCAATTACCGGCAGAGGACTAACTGTGGTCCAGGGGAAGAGGAAAGGGGAACCATTCTGGAGAAACCGCATTCAGGGTTGATGGTATCGACCTCCTTTGTAAAGCTTTCTGGATTAAAAACCTTCTAGAGGAGCTCTGAACATACAGTTGTAGTGCACGCAAGATTGTTGCTGCTGCACTGGAAAGCCCAGACCAAAAAACCAGTTCCATTTAAAGTCCAAAACGTGACCTGTGGACAGATTTTGTGCCCAGCAAGGCTTCGCTAACACTGCTCTGTGGCCTGAATGACATGTTGCTAACTCCTGACTCGGCGGGCGTTGGCAGCAGCAGCGCTGTCCTCAGGCTAACGGAGGCAAGCTGCTTTTGCTGGGTGATGCATTAGCAGCCGTGCGTCGCTGCTTGCTTAAAAGGCAGATTTTTCTACCTCTCAGCCTGCATCAGGTCTTGCTCAGAGCACAGCAGAAATGAGGGAACGTACCACCTTGTTACGGCTTCCCTGAGCAATGTCGTTAAACACACGCATGAAAAGCAGGCAACTACTTCCAAAGAAAACAGCTTCTTTTCAGAAAGCTACATCTTTCCACAAAAGCAATCCAATGTCGGCCTACACAGCGTTAGGAAGTAAAAAACATTTAAACATAATTCTGCTGTTTTTTAAAGGTCTTTAGGCATTTTAGAAAAAAAAGACCCTCTGCCCTTTTTTCTGCTTTGATCCAACATTAATGAACTGGCTAAGAAGTGACACCTAGTTTGCTCACTAAGATTAGCCTGTTAACATCTTCTTACTAAAGCTTCCCTCATATCCTCTTGCAAAGACATGAAAGCTGCCACGAGACGATGCATTCGGTAGCTCCGTGCAGCACATGTATCAAAAGGAGTTACAATAAAATTGGGCTGATTTCCCACAGGAGACATCCAGGCGCAGAGGCACATAAACCGACTCCGATTAGCCAGGCAGATGCTCACTCCTTCCCTCAAATGTATTTTACAATTAACGTTTTTGTAAGCAAATTCCGGCGCCGCTACACGAGACAACAACAAAGCCGATCTCGGGATTCCTTATCGAGGGGAAACTGCCAATGGAGTCAAAAGGAATTAAAGGGAAAGGAGTTCGATAGTCAATTAAAAATCAAAGGCAGATGTTATAATCCGGCTTTAGCCAAATGAGCCCACAGTGAACCTGTAGGAGCGAGAGGCTACGAGTGACAGGGAGGAAGAGCTGCGCGCTCAACAGACGCTGCAGCAAAGACCTGAAAACTTAGCTCACGTCCTCCACGCTGTGCTTTTTCGCTGCGCAGTTTGAGGCTGCGAAACAGGGTATTAGGGGTTAGCGTGCAGATCTGGACCACGAGAGGGGTACGGGCTTGCTGCCTGACCGCCCACCGCCGAGACTCGCGCACGCGTCTCCCCCGCAAAGACGCCGCACGTTGGGACTGCACCACGCGGAGGGTCGCGGCCGGCTGTCCGAGCGCCAAACCAGATGCGTTAAGTCTGTACCTCCTATTGTTTCCTCTTCTATGCTAACTTAGATCTCCTTTTAAGTATTATTTTTCAAGCGATTTAAACATTTTGCAAGAATTTTTAGCTCTAAACTATTTTAGAAGTATTCACTATTGTTACCATTGTGGTGGGAACGCTGCATTGTGGCACTTTTTAAAACATACTGGTTTTGGTAAGATGAGGTTGAAGGGAAAGAAGGCTGCAGTGATAAAGGCAGGCACTGACAATTAAGAGATCCTCAATCTATTCCACACTTGATTTCAAAGTCTTCATACGAATAACAGCAGCTTGTCTGTGCTTCAGTTTCTGCACCTAGAAAAGGTCGTCTATATCTTTTCCCTGCCTTGGAGAAGGAAAGGAGAGAAAGAGAAACAGGAGTCAATTCAGTGATATTTGTTAATAAAAAGAAAAGAAAAAAGGAAAAAAAAAAAAAAACCTTCAGACAGAAGATGCTAGAAAATAATCCACTCATCTATAGCAATTCCTCGTTTAAGTGTCAGTTACCGAGACAGTGTTATAACATCCTGCAAAGCGTAGGACAGGGCTCGCGGCACTGGGCAGGCTCCAAGGTAAAAGGTATGTTATGTTTCTTACCGTCTCTAAAATCAGCTATTTTTACAGTTGTTGGTTATCCTCTCGGTGAAGGAACCTAAAGCTAACGGCTATCTAGTGTCCACGGGGAAGAAATCCACATCAGTATATAAAGCTATCCGAGAAATTAATCTTGCCAATAACCAAAAATCTTTGGGTTCTCCAACTTTATAAATGGCAACAGAACTATCCCACCCCGTTTCCCCAAACCGCAGTGCTTTTGGCTGTGGCACAAGGCACTCTTCTCTACAAGGGCGACGGCTTCGCTTCCCAAACGCGCGCAGCCATCACCTGAACATTTCTGCTCCGTAGGGTCACACGCTATACATAACTGAATGAGAAAATGAGAAGACTTCTGAAATGGTTGGAATCTTTGACCGGGTAAAATAGCATCATATAGCCTGTGACTTTTTCATTGTTCTTCTCTTGTTTTTATAGTCAAAATTCTCTTGATGTGGCAGAAATCAGTAATGAATCAAGTTCAATACAGTGAGGACTGCTTTAGAAACAACCAAAGCAACGGTGACAGTGGAAATTATCTGAGCTGTTGTACATGTATTTTGCTTCTTATGAATAAAATAGCACACTGCAGAGGTGAAGAAAGGAAGCTGCAAGCACCCACCCGTTTCTAAGATGCACACGAACCGCATACCTGAACTAGGTAAATATTTGTTTCCTTCCTACGCAGGGCAAAACCCAGGCCTAAATTTGCGATTCAGTTAAACTGTCAAAGGCAGTGCCTCTGGATTAACGTAGTCTTGTCTATCTGAGTTCAGAATTTGGCCTTTAGCTTCCTGGTGCAGATCTGTCATTGCGCCCAATCTGATCACAGCGCACAGGGCAAGAAGAGGTTAGCAGCGTGCTAAGAGGACTGATGGAAGAAAAACATGAAGCAAACAAAACCCTATGAAAAACAGAAAAATGCTGTGTTTAGGCATGAAAGCCAGTAGAAGTTGTGGCATGTGTCTACTTGGGGTTTATACTTTCAAAGGGCAGAAAAAGCACGCAGTCAGACAAAACTGCATAGTTTGTATCAGAATTATTCTGAGCAATATAACAAATATTTATAGACCTTCTGTGGCCTTCAACCCAAAGGAACTCCTGGTCCTTTGCAGACAATATACAAAGAGCATCTCTGCCCCGCAGCGAGGGATCACATTGCACACGTTGATGTGGAGGAGGGAATTTTGGGCAGAATTGCGAGCAAACCTCTGCTACTCTTACAAAAGATCGTCCAAGACTCATAAAGAACATTCAAAACCACAATTTGTCATCTGTTCACACAAAGAAGTTTGGAAATCCCCTCTGGCCACACACACGCTACTATAAATGCTGGTATCCCATAAGGAGCAATTACACTCTGAAGTTGAGGTACATGCTGGGCATTACTCTCGGAGCTCTCTGCGCACCGAGGAGCAGAAGGGAGTCACCTACCTGGCAAAGCTTGCATTGTTCCATGTACTGTGAAGTCTAGGAAGTTGCACAGCTGCGAGAGCCACCAGAATCCTCACAAGGGGAGCCAAAATAGTCCAGTTCAAAAGCAGGTCTGAGTTCCCGAAGCAAGCAAAAGCCTTTCTTTCTGAGATCCAGTGTCAAGAGTGCGTGGGATGAGGATGGGACTCCAAGCACAGCTAGCCAAGGTGAGGTCCTGTTTTATGGAGGCTAATGAGCAGGGAGGAGCCTCTCTCTAGGGCTGTCCCCTCACAATCCTTTGATGTCCAAAGGGACAAAGAGAGGAAGGATCTGCAGCAATGGCTGAGGCTAAGGGAAGAAAATCAAAGAGAATTAACATGGCTTTGACATACAGGAAACCCTACAGGGGAAATGCACCTTGATTTACTGCTAACGCACTTTTAAACAAATAGAAACAAGACCAAAAGCATCAGCTGAAGACTTACCTACAAAACAAAAAAATCCCTTAAACAGCAAGGAGGGAAAATTTCCTTCTGCCTATTCCAAGGATTTGATACAATTTTCACCTCTAGAGCATGGAGTCTTTTTACTGTTGATTCCTGGTGTGTATCAGAACCAGAACCGTGTCAAGCTTGTTCCTCTCAAAGTGGGCGAATATCAGTCTGTGGTCACCTTCACTCTGGCAACAGGGACACTGCAGTAATCACCAGCAGATGTCTTCTCCTCTAACAGAAATGCATTTGATGGTATATTGTAACTTACCTACCTAATTTCACAATTCTCAGCCTTTGACTGCACAGTTAATTTTTTGCATCGTGCTGTTTTTCTCTGGCATTATCCTCATTGCTAGCTCAGAAGTTCTGAAGCTCTTTAAGTGTGGCCTGCTCTACAGGTAATGTATTTTCAGCCGCGCTTGCGAGCGGAACTTGCAATTGTTTTAATGATGCAGCCGTGCTAGCTTGGAGTTTCACTGGCACCAAAGTCCTTTGGCTGGCACTTTCCTGGGCTAGCGCAAGTGACCTAAGAGTCTAATGCGTGGAGCAGGCACTGGTTTTACTTAGTCCTTGCTCAAGGTGCAACTCTCACTGAACGCAAGTCTGAGTAGAAACTGACGGACTTCAGCGTTTTGCCCTTAATTAGTTTATTCTGCAAGTGTGACCATTAGCTTTTGTGCTTACCAGTGCTTACAAGTGTTAAGAGACAGCAATCAAGTCTCATGCTTCAGGGCACAAACCAGCCACTGCCTTGATGAAGAAGGGACTTCTGTGTGCTCCTGTACAGAAATTACGATACTAACATTTGCAGGTGAAAGATGCTGCTTCAGAGAGTGCTCAAGGTCAAAAGAGGGATATCAGCCTCAAAGGGCCAGTGTGGGATTCTGCACAGCAAACGTAGGAGCTCTACTCTCTGTTTCATTTCAAACAGCATTGCTGTAAGGCTCTAGCTGATTCATGGTATGGTCTTGCTCCCAGTAAAATAAACAATTTTTGTTTTGTCACTGACATTAATGGGACACCTGAATTTTAGTCTAACATACAAAATACATTCTGAATCTATTGACAGGTAGTTCCCGTAGCTGAATGGCATCCCTTTAGTTCTGCTCTTATCGCCTTCTGGTCCAGCAGTCCAAGAAAATGCAAAGACGATGAAGGAATTTAGTCAGAGGAGGGACACTGCATTTTAGGCATCCTAGTAACCAGGGGTGGGGGTGAGAAAAGCCAGTGCTTACTGTGGCAAGGAGAACGTTTGGAAAAGCGGGGGTGGAGAGTTTGAGAAGTCCTCAGGATGATTTTTATAGCAGGAGCTCATCCACTTGCTGCTGGCCCCTTTGAAGGACCACATTCAATCTACCTGATGTCCCTTTAAAAACTACTGGATAATACAGAAGACCACAGGCTGTTCTCCTTCAGCTAACTCGGGGGACATCCAGAACGGGGGGGGCTCAGCACCTTTGAGGAGACGGCTATCATGTGGCAGCGCAATATCAAGTTATAGCTCAACTGCAGAGTCTTTCATTGCATACACTGAAAAACAAATCAGAAGGTGAAAGACTGGACTGTAAAAGGTACCAAGGTCAAACCTCCTATGCTTGTACTCGCGCAGCCGCTACCAGATGCAAATGGAATAAAATGTAGAAAACTTTCTTTGCTCTTCTACTCTGCTACAAAAGGGAAGCCAGCACCAAATCTGCCCACCAAGTTCTGCTTTTCTAATGCCAGTATTTTAATTGTAGAAAGCTGAAAAGACGGCTGTAATCAGAATCTGAAAAGGGAAAATAGAACAAAAATTGGGTCAGACTCAAGCTAGCAGTGAGATAGATTAACATCCCACGGAGTTAGGAACTGCACAACAGCAGCAGCAGCGCTGGGAATTTCAGACTCTTCATCTGACGGGTGTGGGATGTGTATCATGAGTTATTGCTTCTTCCAAGAAAGGGTATCAGATGGTCTCCTGCTGCCACTTCATTTGCACACTGGGTATGTGCATGTCTAGAGAACACACATTTGCTGCAAGCACTCAAAATCCTTTTGGCTTCTCCCAGCTGATTGATGGGGAAGGTGGAGTCATTAATTACCCATGGCTACTTAACAACCAGCTTTCTCCCAGCCTTTCCATTTGCACTGGAGAGGTTTTAAAAGTGAAAAGTACATTTGTTACAATGGCTGGAAAGCGCAGCTAACACTAGCAATCCCCATGAAATTCACCACTAGCAAAGGGAGAATTTAGCACGTTACTCTCCTGTCTGTCCCTCGGTGATGTGCCTCAGGCAGTTTGCTGGCAAGGCAGGGGTGGATGAGCTAGTGTCTAACGATTCACCGGCAAATTGGAGAATGGGGGAGGAAAGGGATGGGACAGAGAGTGCATCTGATGTGGGTAAGTCGGTGACACACACAGCTCTGCTGCGAGCTCAATTACAGCAGCAGGTAAAAATCTCGTGGTGCCCAGCTCTAACAGCAGCTCTCCTGGTGTGCGGAGGGGTGAGGTAGGGCAGTGCAGAAGGGAGGATGTGTCATGACAAAAGCAGAGGCCAAGGGCTTTTGCTTTGCATCTCTTTGAGGAGCTGATTAGAAGGAAACATTCCCCTTTGGGTTTGTCAGAAAGCAAATGTTTTCTGGCACCACCGTTCACTGCAGGTGAAGCTTTAACCCTTAACATGCAACAGGAGGCTGTAAGGAACCGACCTGCGCCCTGCACCATTCCTTCCTTCTGAGCCGCCGCGGGCTCCTGGAGACGGGGCGATCACGTTGCCTCTGCCGCTGGCGAACGGGGCTCTCAGACTGCAGGAGCGTGCAGATACACGTGAGCCAGCTAGCTGGAGGCTTCGCTTTTAGGATCCAAGTCTGCAAACGGCTGAACAGGATGCACCACCTCTGACCAGGCGTAACTTCCAGGACGCCACTTGGCCTTGAGAACAGGCTCCAGGACCAGGGAGAAAGTTACTGTCTGGAAGACTGCTGCAACGCAACAGAAATGCAGATTAGTCATAATGATCTTTCAGAAAGAACCAATCTCGGATCATTTGCTAATCTATATCCCCGCTCTGGCACGGCAGCCAGCAATCCAGTCACTGTAGACTTCCCCCTGTGCACGTGGTTGTGAGAAAAGCCTTATCATATCAGCTTTAATAAAACTGGGCTTAACTAATGCACTGTTGTCTGCCTGATTTTGCACAAAGTCAGAAAAAGTAGCTTGCAGAAACCTAAATTGCACTTTGAAGAGGAAATTCTCTCTGAAACCCGCAGATAGCCTTACTGCCGTTCAGACGTGAATCACTTCGCAGATTCCCACCTGGTGCACTTAGGCCACAGTCTCAGAGTGTTTTCTGTGCTCCCCAACGTGAAAACCTCCAGACTTGCAATTCCATCCACCTCTTGGCAACTCTTCATGAAGGATACGTCGTCACCTGCGCTGGCTGAATACTGAAAACGTGGGAAGGCAGCATGTCATTAACAGGACTCAAAATAAAACAGAGGTTGTCCTACACCAATAGTTACTTATTTTCATACTTAGTTAATTAAAAACATTAAGCAGCCTCGGACTCTCCAGACTGCTTCCAAATTCACGGACCTGTCCCTTAAACACCGACCCAGCTTGCTGCAGAGCAACGGGGCCAGGTTATGCACGTGCAGGTCCTTGGGGAAGAGCAGTGTTTTTCCAAAGAGAAAGCCCGATGAAACTATCGCTCCTGCAGCCACGCCGGCCTAGAGGCTCCTTGTCCCTATCAGCGACCAGCATCTCGCAGAGAAAGTCAGGGAATAGGAGGGCAGCTCCTTAGACAGACACTGAGCTGACTGAACTGAGCTGGGCTCTGTCCTTCAGGATTGAGGGGTCTAGCCCTGACAGATGGGCACGGCCTGAATTTGGGCAGGTCTCATGGGCAAGCCTCTGTGCCTATTGTCTACGGTAATGGCAAAAGCCTGCTAACTGCTTTGAGATCCTCTAATAAAGTGCTAAGTATAATTTCCTATCATGTGGTAGCATAAGGAACGGTTTCTTCCCAGTGCCTTACTGCAGCTCACACAGCACAGCATTTTCTTCTGCTGGTGGGAAATGGCACTTTTTTCTTTTTATGGCCGAGTTTTGATTGCTTTGTCCCGGGAAAAGTTGTCTGGTGTGTTCAGGCGTGTTACACGTGTCCTCTCCCTTCAGCTGTGGCTGGCCTGCGACCCGCGTGAGAGGCCCCGCACAGGGCAGACCTTTGTGGGGCCGAAAGCCCCATGCTGAGCCCCAAATTGTACTACCCCGAAATCTTCCCTGCGCTCTCAGAAAGCAAAATCACATTTGGTAAAACAAAACAGCTGGTCGGAGAGGGCCTGTTGGTAACAGCTCACTGCTAACTCGCCACAGGATCCCTGGACGGAGGTCGGCCGCCCGCCTGCGCCTGCGCCCACCCCCAGCACCCAGCATGGCTGCGCTTCAGCAGCGACAGGGGACCCTTTTTGGAAGGGAACATGTGAAAGCGGCTCATGCAAATGAAAAGTAGCACATCATAAGTTTCACATAGGCTTCTCCCCTCCCAGGCTTGGGGACTGCGGTATCTGGCCACAGAGCTGTGAGCTGCGCTCCTCAATTAGAGGAAAGCAGATCTGGTTCTTCTGTCTCCCCGTTATCATATCCGCTCTCCCCAGCCCTCCTGGAATATGCACCCGCTTCTCCCAACAGCTAGTTAGCATTGAGACAAGAAGGGAAATACTTAACGGCCACTTAACACTGAAGGCTGAGTTTGGCCTCAAAGGCTACGCTCCAGAGTCAAATGCAAAGTATCCGCGTCTAGAACCCTTTCAAGTTTTGGCAGACGCCTGATGTTAGGTGCACTGCTTTCCTGCCGATGCATTGTGTGTCCCAGACGCTGCTCAGCACTCTGTCCCATTCAAATCCACAAAAAAAAAAAAAAAGAAAAAAAGGAAAGAAAAAAAACATTTTGAAAGGACTTTACAGCTCAGAGGCAGCAAGAACAGCTTTGCAAAGCAGCCCAGGGAAGTGCCACCAAAGTGCCACTCGCGGGGGCTGGCACACAGCAGCACTGCCAGAACCCGCCGGTGCCCGTGCCCGTGCCGAGGGGGCCGTGAAGGATCCGACCTGCGAAACAGGCAGCAACAGCTCCAGGTTAACAGCTACACATGTATGTTTGTGTATCTATAGACAGACAGACACACGCGCACGCACACACAGAAAAGCATGCAGAGCTTAAAAGCTGTATTGTTGGAGATTCAGCTTAACCCTGAAGTGAGATCAGAAAAAAATCCCACGTAGAATGGATTTTGCTGAATGAAAACCCGGCTGACAATGCCCCAGTAATCTCTGCTAAAAAGCTGATCTTTGCTGGAAAAAGCAGCAGGCCAAACCCAGCAGCACATATTTAAACTTTTTGGCCACCTGATTTTGCAGACACGCTGTAATACAGCTTCGGTTTCTGCACAGGCGTTTTTGGTTGGTGTGGAAGTGTTTGTAGAGCCACGAAATGAACAGATAACAAGCCAGACTTTAATCACTTAAGTCAGTTTGCAAGTTACTTTGTTTTGCCAGCAGAGATTTATTCCATCAGTTTCGCATGAAAGTTTCCATATACCGGTTACTCTACCATGGTAAGGCTCCAATCACAACATGAAATTAATAAACAAAGTAAAATGCCAGATCAAAGGAAACACTTTCATAGAGCTAATGAATATAGTTAAGATTTAAAGATTTTAGAATTTGAAAATAAAAACTGCTGTAAGCTGTACTCTTTTTCACAGTTCTTTCAACATCCTTGTTGACTCTAAAGAACCTTTTGAGAAAGAGAACAAACATAACCAGAAAGCATGAAACAAGAAGAATTATAGCACAGGTAGCAGATTTTGATCCAGAGCATTTTATAATATATTGTGTTTCATTTACTAAGATATTTTATTACTGCAGAAATTTTGTTTTCATTTTTTCCTTTTGTATTATCACTTTTTGTTTCTCAAAAAAAAGAACGCGTGTGCTATATGGCCACGGGATACATACAAGTGTGCGTACATCGCACAGGAAGGAGGGAGCTGAACACACAGGATGTCTAACCAACCTGCAGAGTCTGAGCAGAGCTGAGCTATTTATAGGATCTCTCATAAAAACCAAAATGAATGCCAAGACAGATTCACACAGTTCATCCCCCAAGACACTTTCTGAAAGCTGATACAGAGCTTTATGATGGGATACATATAATCTGTAGGAAAGTTTGAAGCTAGTAACAAAGAGCTGGAAACATGTATTCATTTTAAGCAGAAAATCTTTGGATAAACTCTGAGCTACACTTTTTCTCATCCACCTGGCAGCAAAATGATACGGGTGTCCACAATAACAAAATTCTGATGAGAATCCTTGTATACAACTAATAATGGGGGGGGGGAAGCACCGGCCAGCTTTCATCGACTCCTGCAGTGGGGCGATGCAGTCCTAAACGTACGTGAACTTACATAACCAAACACAGCTCCCGCGTAGTCCTTTTCCAGCAATCTCTAGTTTGCCTAGATTTTTCCTCCTTTCTTCTCATATTAGCAAATTCCTCACGCTCATCCTCTGTTGCAGTCAAGGGCCAGGGTACAAACCCCAGGCGAGATCACAGGCCCCGGCTCCCTCCCCCTACCCAGCAGATTGTGAAGTGTTTATGACCGGGCTCTTATGGCTCTAGAGGTGCTGAATGGCTTTTTTCCCCCTCCAAGTCTCAGCTCCTGATGGGCAGCTACAGACCAACTTTTAGCCGATTTGGTCCGTAGTTGGGGATTTTATTGCCCAGTTTGTCTCTTCAGCTCACATTTGTAAGCTCCAGAGTAGATTTTTCCCTGGGTAACACTCTGCAGCTCAAAGAACTCTTCTTGTTTTTATTACATCCTTGGTGATTAAAGGGATATTTAAAGCTCACAGCGTTCCCTGCTGTGAATATAAAAGCCTAGCATCATTTTGGATAGATGTGTCTAAAAAAAATAAATTAAAAATTAGCCCTCCTATAGTGGACAAATGCTTTTCAGTTGTTAAGAACATCAGGCACTTGAATGATTTAATACATCAGCTGCAATTCCTTGAGAAAGCAAGGGGTGACCCATGGTTTTGAGCTATCCAGACAGTTATACAGACAAGTTCTGCTTGGACTGAGGATGATATAAGTGTGTAACGACTGTATTACCCTGAAAATATTGGATTTCATCTGCTTATGCACAAATGACTTAGATTTCTTTTCCTCTCTAACCTGGGCAACCACTAACATACGCATATTAAGTATCATTCTTGAAAACACAACCTTTGCTTTTGCAATGGGAAAACTGTATTTAAATGACTGGCACTTTAAAAGCTAATCTACGCCTGCCAAACAAATGGAGATACAAAGAACAACACAATATCAATTCAGTAGAAATATTTAAATTTCCCTCTGAGCACAGATTAGATGGTTATCAATAATGGGGTTACTGGTTTTACCACCCCATAATACTGGCATTTCTGGTTTAAGCTTGTATAGGAGCTACTGCTGGAGTCTGATTAAGTGAGAGCTCAGCGTGCCTCAATGCAGGTCTGGACTCACCGCCACGGAGCTCACGGCACCCTCCTTGCTACCAGCTTGCTTCACTAGCTCGGTGCTTCTGAGCTTCTTCCCACTAAAACAAAGGGGAAAAAAAAGGTCAGATTATCACAGGGTGCAGGAAAGGACTCACACCTGCGTATTTACTACAACGTGCGTCTTGTGGCCCATCCTGACTTTTGAATGATGCTTTTCTCGCGACTAAGGCACTTAAAAAGAAGCTCTTCCTCCAAACAGGAAGAAGTTCCTCTTTGGATTCTCTGGTGTCTACTATTGTGTTAACTCACATTGCGACCACTCCTTCAGATATTTTCAAGAAACCTGGAGGAACTAACTCGTCTGTCTGACTGCTACGCTTCTGCCAACTTGGGCTGAAAGCAGGAAAGGGGGTTAAAAAAATTACTACAAGGGGAAAACAGGCAGCAGGATCACACAAGTCTCATTTCTGCAGGAACTCAAGCTAAACATTCAGGCGGCAGGGAAATATTATTGGGCAAATCCATCTGGGAACATTATTAGCCAGGCAGTGCTAAGCTAAAGCTAACCTGTCCAGCATTTAAACAAATACGCTGGTTTCTGAGAAAATAAAAAATGAAACTGACCCTTATGAACTTTACTGGCTTTCTCATTTTTGTCACTGTGCTTCACCAAGCAGACCCTCCTTAAGACGGCATAATTTGAGAGCGTGCTGTACATTTGAGTCTTAGTTTCATGAGGAATCTCCACATATCATAAAAAGGGACAGATCAGTAGCACATGCTGGAAACAGCTGTGAAGTTGCCATGTGTTATGCAATTTTCTCAAAATTACTTCATCAGTATGCCAGCAGCTACTGTGAGGTGACACAATGTCTGGTTGCTATCTGCTGTGCAGAGAGCGAGGATAAAAATTACTGTCAAGCGTGGAGACAGGAAGGGATTCTGCCTGCCCCATTCCTTGCCTACCTCACCTAAATCAAGTCCATGCCACGAGCATTACCGACACCTCGCGCTCTCCTGAGCTTTGCTAGTAACGCACACGTTTAATCTCGTGGGGATTTCACTGCCTTACTGCAACTCAAACTACTGGAAGCCGCGGCTCCCTATCTGCATATCTGGAGGGGATTTAGTGGCCTGTGATAAGCAGAAGGCCAGACTGGATGCTCTAGTGCTTCCCTCCATACAGCTTTGGCTGCTGAAGTCATATACTGCAATGGTCTGAGGTTTCAAGGTCTTCCAGCAGACAAACCTGTGGCAGAATTTCATGGCTGGATTTGGGGGGTTTAATAAGCTTAAAGTAGTAAAAATGATTAATTATGTTAATAAGCACAAGCAAACTTTGCAATAGAGTCCAAACTTCTGCCCATTTCTCTCCTCCTGCTCAAGCACATTTTGCATTAAGAGACGTTCCTTTGTCTCACGCAAAGTCAAAGATGGATGGAGTGGAAAGGAGGAGAGGAAAAAGGTCACCTTGGGATTCTGATCATCGATCACAGCCATAAAAGTCACTTCTGAGAACACAAAGGAAGCTACCGCGTTCCAGGCAAAGCACAGGCAACCTCCTGGTCAGCACCACACAGAGCCAGGACAGGTCTTCGTGCATCAAGTGCAAAATAACCTGAAGCCAAAGAGAACATAAGCAATCAGGAGGACTGGAAAAGGTCATCAAAACTGCTTACTTCCCCACAGTGAGCTGTTTGTTTGGAAGAGTTGCTTGTATTCTGCTTCATTTTTAAATAGCTGCTCATGGGCCAGAGGGAGCCTACCAGATTTAAAGAGCCCTTGCGCTCTAGAGGACAGAACGGACAGGTTACTGATAGCATCTTGGAAGCACTAGCTTAGACAATCAGAAATCTGGAAGCAAAAATCTGAAATCTAAGCCCATCTGTGGTCCCATCTTCCCTTATTTCTTTCTGACCTCTCTCTCTTAGCATTTCCTCTCCAGGATGGAATTACTCCCCTTCTCCTCTTCCCTGCTCACCATACGGACAAAGAGCTGTTCGGGGAGGCACTGCTAACTTGTGCTGTTTTCTTTCTCTCTCCCTCAATTTTCCCCTAAGAGTTGCTTAATATCACTTAAGCTTTCCTTCTGAACACCCCAATGCTCAGTAGCCCCCATGTATAAAACAAGCGGTAATATTGAGGAGGCTACAATACAGAGATAGTTCCTATGGTTTCCAGCAGTAAGTTTGATGCTTTTGTTTCCAATAGAGAAACAAAAGAAGCCAAATAGAACTACAGGATGCACATGTGAAAAGAGCATATAGTTGAGCAGGGAAGTGGCAGGGCTTTTTTTCTGCTAGTTCGCTCTGAAACAAGCGGGTAGAACTAGATTTAATCCTAACTATCAAAGCTACACCTGAACTGAAGGGAGTCTGGATGGACCAAATATCAGAAAAAATGAGCTTAGTTGACTGACAGCTCTGTGCATCAGGGAGAAATGAGCATACTAAGTCTGCACATGTCTGCAGGGGGTAAACATACAGATGACAGACGAGTTAATATGCTACAGAGGGGTATTATCATCATCAATATTAGAGATGAAAATGAGAGAGAAGCAATTTGAGTATCCGGGGGCGGGGGAAAAAAACGTATCAGCAGTGAGCTGTGCAAGGGCACATTCACAGAGTAACAGACAAAGGTCTTACTGCATTAGACTTTTAAATGATTTTTACACAAACCTGTGATATTGCAGGGAACAATCCTGCCTTGACAAGAGCAGCAGAGAAGGCTCTCAGATACTTGTTAATCTCTTATGATTCTCTGAGAGCATACAATTGCCATTAATATTAAATGAGTTCTGGGGGCATGTTCTCCTGGCATGCAAACAGTACATCAGCATATCATATTTCCCAGTGGAATGTCACCAGGGTTACTTACAGACTGTGGTTTACAGCACCACGCTTTTGATACAGATTCAAGCAGAGTGAAATATCCAGGCTTCTCTTACAGGATCACACTGCTCCAGAGCTTTACTGGAGATCTTTATTCTCTGGAAGGAGATTGATTCTTTCTTCCAGCGGCTCCCAGGAGCTAGAGAATCTGGATGGAGATAGAAGTGCACGGGGAAATGGGAATCATCTTTCTCAACAGCTTCTCACTGGTCACAGTGCCACGTGTAATGGGTATTGCCCAAACGAACCAGGTCCATCAGCACCAGGTAGACAGAGTGAGGGTCCAGGCCTGAACCCAGTCGTTTGCAGCATACGTCTGTATGGAAGGAGGGAGCAGGACAGAGTGCCTTCACCTCAAGGCTGAAATTAGAACTTACCTAGTGCTCCAGCTGAATCTTAAGAGTATCCACTGAAAAGAGTGATCATCACCCAAAGAGCTCTAGGTGTCAGCTATCTTACACCAATAAATAGTCAAAGCTAAATTATGCCTTAATAATTCTTTTGCAAGCCTTCTGGGGTTGTTTACCACTGGCATTGACAAGTCAGTGAAGGGGCACGTGCATAACAAAAGGCAGAATTTATTATGTAGGGTGAACTGAATCTTGAACTTCCAGCTTGTCCCAAAAGGGGATCTGGAATACTTCACAGGAGTATGCCTGTAAGATGATTTAAGGGGAGCGATTCCTAGCTCCTCTTTGAAAAATCTCCATCAGATTTTATTGCTGAAGACAAAAATAGTCGTAATAGTCAAGAAGATTTAAGATCATATAGTAATCAAGCTCCCCCAGTGAATCACACTTACAGTTTTTGACACGGCTCCATGGCTGGGGACAGCTACTTTTATTGAGTTCCTCGGTATTTCTTGTAGCTCACCTGGCAGAACTGTTGCCCCAAGCCATCGGACTCCCAAGATGCACATTTTGGCTATGAAAACTGCACACTCAGAACTCAGTAGAGGTATAGAAGACCCAACTACCTGGTCCTACTGCCCCCATACTGTCTGGCAGGCACAGGAGGCATAAACAGAGTATTTAAGAAGACTACCCGTGTTCAGCTAATAAGGCTAGACACAGACAACAACTGCAGAATGGCACAGTGGATAGAGCCCAGAGGGACGTGACCAAAGCGAGATGAACATGGAGTTAGTGTGGAAAAAGACATGCAGCAGCTGTGCCCTTTGGTACATGTGTGCTCTTACCTGCCAGCTTTGGTGATGATCAGTTCAGTGCCAAGCGCACAGCATTCTTCCCAGAGTCCCTTCTTCTCCAGAGAGAGACAGATCTGATGCAGTAGCCACCTGTAGATGGAAAGAGGACTTCACTGTGGAGAGAAGAGAGCTGCAGATTCTGAAAAGGTATCATCTCAAAACGAGGGACCTTGGCACCTGTTTCACTTGGGAAGAGGGCCATGCTCTTGCAGGGGAACGGAGAAAAGCAAATGTCTTAAAACAGGCCCCTAAGAACGGCCTGCAGTAGAAACAAAACAATGCCACTGCCAAGAGAACGTGCCAGACAGCTACCACAACGCACAGAGCCTTCCTCTTGACCTGCTCCCTCCGTTCTCATTTGGGACAACAGTTCTGCCCTCTCCTCTGAGATAATTTGCTTACAACCACCTGTGATACATTTCAAAGTTGCTTAAGATTTTTACGAGGGCTCCAAAGATGAAATACCGGTCATCCAGAAGGGGAGTGATAGTGTAAGTAAAGTGAAATGCAGAAAGAGAATTTTACATGCTCAGATTTGAACCTCAGCAACACTGAGCTGTGGCTAGGCCTGCCTTTTGTCCAGAATCCTGACTATAAAGACCTTCTAGTGCGAATTAACAAGACAAACCATGGCAATCATGCTGAATTTTCCTCACAGGATTTTGTCCGCTTGATGTTTAGGTCTCACAGTATATATAAAACTACTTTACTACAATGTGAGATGACAAAATCACGAGCATATTAGATGACTCAGATGCTGGACCACTTTCTCTGAGCTGGCGTGAGCACTGGTGCCCTTTGCTGTTAGTCAAAGCTGGTGCCTGCACTGGCACTGCTGCTGTGAGCCATCTGTGTACGGGTTTCCTGAAGCTTGACGCATCCTCCAGACCCTAAAGAAGAGATGCAGAAGGGCTCTACAACTCCTGATCTTCAAAAGGGTTGTCTTTTATTTGTTCAGGAGATCCTGCACGTGTGCCAAAAAAAGAGAAGTGGGTAA